ACTCTGTATCTAGCAAAGCAGTCCATGTTTGGCACTTCTTTTCAAAAATCTGTTTCTCAAAACGATTTGCCGGATTTGGACTCTTTGGTTCAGATTAAGAACCGTGACACAAATTGAGTCCAAACTGTAGCACGAAGGCCTCACGCGGGCGCGTCTACAGCCATCATATAAGAGGGTCCGAATAAATGTCCGGGGTTTAAACTCTAATGCATGAGAAATGCTAAGTAAACACCATTATTACACATTTGTCATCATACAAGAGGGTCCAAATAAATGTCCGAGTGTTCAAACCCTAATGCATGAGAAATACTAAGTAATCCATAAACCCTAATCCCTAAACCCTAAAACCCAAAATCCTAAACCCTAAACTGTAAACTCCTAAACCCTAAAGCCTAAAATCCAAAACCCAAAACCCTAAACCCTAAACTCTAAATCCTAAACCCTAAGCCCAAAAAAACCCTAAACCCTAAATTAACCCAAAACCTAAACACTAAATCGTAAACCCCTAAACCCTTAACCAAAATCCCTAAACCCCTAAAAACCCTAAACCCTAATCCCTAAATCCTAAATCTCAAACCCAAAACCCTAAATTAACCCTAAACCCTAAATCTTAAACCCATAAACCCTAAACCAAAAATCCTAAATCCCTAAAAACCCTAAATCCTAAACCCTAACCCTAACCCCTAAACCCTTAACCCTAAACCCTAAACCCTAAACCTTACACCTTAAATACTAAACCCTAAACCCTAAACACTAAATCCTAAATCCTAAACCCTAAACCCAAAATCCTAAAAACCCAAAAAACCCAAAATCCTAAACCCTAAACCCCAAACCATAAATCCTAAACCCTAAAAATCCTAAACCATAAAACCCTAAAAATCCAAAACCCTAAACTCTAAACCCTAAAACCCTAAAAACCTAAAACCCAAAACCTAGAAAACCCTAAAATCCCAAAAAACCCAAAACCATTAAACCATAAAAACCCTTAAACTCTAAACCCTAAACCCTAAACCCTAAACTCGAAACACGAAACCCTAAACCCTAAATCCCAAATCCTAAACCCCAAACTCCAAACCCCAAACCCTAAACCCTAAACCCTAAATCCAAAACCCTAAAATCCTAGCCACTAACACCTAAACCTTAAACCCTAAACGCTGAAATCCTAAACCCTTAACCCTATACCCTAAACCTTAAAAACCTTAAACCCTAAATCCTAAATTTTAAACCCTAAACCCTAAATCCCAAATCCTAAACCCTAAACTCCAAACCCTAAACCCCAAATCTCAAACCCCAAACCCCAAATCCCAAACCTTAAACCCCAAACCCCAAACCCTAAACCCTAAACTCCAAACCCAAAGCCCTAAACCCTAAATCCAAAACCCTAAAACCCTAACCGCTAACCCCTAAGACCTAAACCTTAAAACCCAAAACCCTAAATCGTAAAAACCTTAAACCCTAAACCCTAAATCCTAAAAACCCTAAACCCTAAACTCTAACCCCTAACCCCTAAACCCTAAACTCTAACCCCTAACCCCTAAACCCTAAACTCTAAACTCTAAATTCCTAAACCCTAAACCCCTAAACCTGAAATCCTAAACCTTAAATCTTAAACCCTAAACCCTCAATCCTTAACCCTAAACCCTAAACCCTCTCAACCCCAAACCCTAAATCCTAAACCCTCAACCCTAAATCCTAAATTCTAAACCCTCAATCCTAAACCCTATAAACCCTAACCCCTAAACCCTAAATCCTAAATTCTAAACCCTAAAAACCCTAACTTCTAAACCCTAAATCCTAAATAACCATAAATCCCGAACTCTAAACTCTAAAACCCTAAACCCCACATACTAAAACACTAAACCTTTAATTATATTCCCTAAAAAACCATAAATCCTGAAACCCTAAATATCTTAAACCCTAAATCAAAAAAATTTTAAACACTAACCCTAAATCTTAAACCCTGAATATTCAATCCTAAACGCTAAATTGTTAATAATAATAAAAAAAAACTCAAATCCTAAATCGTAAATTAAAAAACACTAAAAACACTATCAAAATCTTAAACCTTAAAGCCCGAACTTTGAAAATCTTAAACCCTAAACCATAGATCCTAATCCCTAAACTCAAAACCCTAACCCTTAAACCCTTAAATCCAAAACCAGAAAGCATAAACCCAAAATCCTAACTCCTAAATGATAAAAACTTTAAAAGTCCAAAAAACTCTGAACTCTAAACCCGAAATCCCAAATTCCAAATCCCAAAATCCTAAATTTGAATTAAAAAAAGTTTAAAAAAAACTGTCATTATAAATTTTTTTTTTAATTTTGCAACGAGAAACGAATTAATATATAGGGTAAATTACACTGACACCCCTTGAGGTTTATGTTTATTACAGTTTTCTCCCTCACATTTGGGAAATTACACTAACCTCCCTTGTCAGTATAATTATTTGACGGTGTTAACTTTTAAGTTAAAATGAAATATTTATCCTTAACCTTTACATATACTTTAAAGGGTAAATTACATTGACACCCCCTGAGGTTTCAATTTAATACGGATCTCCCCTAACATTTTAAAAAAAAACTAATTTAATAAAAATAAATATAAAGAAATATATTTAATTTGTAAAAAATTATTTCTAATCACTCGAAAGATAAAAATTATACAAAATGATAATTATTTTTTTATTTTTTATTTCTTAACCAAATTAATTTTTAATTTTAAAAAAAATCTAAAAATCAAACCACACATAGTCTAAGAATCTTTTGATAAGTCATTTCTTATATTGGTAACTTATTTAATTATTTGTTAATTTTATGACATTTTACCATCTGAGGCATGTTTGGTAACCATTTCGTTTTCAGTTTTCAATTTATATTTACAAAAATTTAAAAAACTATCGTAAAAACTTGTTTGATAATTTTTTTTGTTTTTAAATGGTTGTCTCAGTTTGTAAATTTGAGGAAAAAATGTAAATTCAAAAAATGAGTTTACGTTGGTTTTTAAACAGAAATTTAAAAATTTGACTAACAAAAAAAATTTCAATTATTTTTTTTTTCAATGAATTTTTTTTTAACTAATACTAACCGAGGGGGCAATTGGTAATGCTACTTTAAACCTTGGGAAGGGGATTGTAATTTCTAAAATGTTATGGGTGTCAATGTAATTTACCCAATGAGGGAAAAATTGGTATTTAAAAAAATTAAATTGCTGACATCAGCAAAATCTGTTAGTTGACTTAATAGTCAACTAATTGAGGGAGTAAACTGTAATGAAACTTTAAATCTCAGGGAGGGAGATGTGATTACCAAAAGGTGAGGGAAAACTATAATAAACATAAACCTCAGGGGTGTCAATGTAATTTACCCTAATATATATTAATATTCTCTTGTAAAATTTGAAAGGGTGATTCTACTTACGCCACTCTTTTACCTCCTTACATCCCTCATCTCATTACACCATTAAAAATATATATAACTCTCATTACACCCCCATTATATTACCAATATTAACCCTAAATTAACCATTTCATCTCTTTACACCACTTGACTTTTGGAGAGAAAAGAGAGAAGCAGCAGCAAGGAAGATGACGGGTCCGACGCAAAGAAGGCGAGTGTTTCGGACGGCGAGAGAGATTTGAACGACGTTGTGGTCTGTGTTACTGGCGTGGAGGATTGAACTCATTCTTCTCATTCGCTTAAGGTAAGTGAAAAACTCTTCTTTCTCTCTCTATATTGACAGACATATATATGTATCTATATATGTATCTCTATCATCTCTATCATAATTTGTTTTTGAATAAACAAAGAATAACACATTCCCAACACAGTTTTGGTGGTTTTGATCTTCTAATTTAATTGGGTTTGTAATTTTTGGTGCTAATTTTGAATGTTGAAGTTCAAATTTTGGTTCCTCTATTTTGTCAGATTTTTGTTCTCTGTTTTGATGTTCTAATTTTGAATTTTGAATCTTGAAGTTGAAATTTTTGAATGTTGAAGTTGAAATTTTGGTCCTCTGTTTTGATCTTCTATTTTTTAATTTAGCAACTTCAATTAGTTCTTGGCTCTTACTTGAATAAAGTATTTCTACTCTTGCTGAGAAATTGTGGCTTAGAAAAAGAAACATGAAACCTTTTCCTTTATTTTATTAAAAATCTAATGCTGAAACAAGTAATGAAACAAATCAAGTGTACATTTATTTTATTATATACATAAATATATAGGACATGCACATAGGAGAGAAGGAAGCACCAACAAATTAGTTTGTGATCTCGTCATATTCTTTTCCCTATACATTCCTTTATATCCCCTAGTCAATTATTTTTCAGTTACTTTTCATGTGAACTAGATGTGAGCACCATGTGCATGTTCCTCATCTCATAGTATTTCTTATCATCTACTTGTTTCCAATTTGATCTCTTGTGCTGATCATGCTTAGAAATAAATACTTTTATTCTCTTTTTGTATATTGGCACATTAAAACAATTTAAGAAGAGAAATTAAAATTGTTCCGTAACAAAACAGTTATGAAACAAACCTGGGTATTTGCTTAACAGAATAGATTTCTCTCATATTGCCAAGTGGGTATTTGCTTAACAAAATATATTTACCATATTGCCAAGTCAAAACTATATAAAGAAAAGAAACACAAATAGGTTTTTGGTTATAATACAACATAATAGATGTATGAATATGACATACCACATTATTTGGCACTTTGAACTCGATTTTTCTCTTCTTATTATTCTTTTCTTCATTCCATTATTTCTCTGAGTGGGCTCTAAGGCCAACAATTCAGCAAGGTTTGGGAAATCAGTTAAATCCATGAGCATTTTGTAATCATTTGCTTTTGATTCATGTCCCTTACTCACTTTGTGATCTGCAAATTGAATACCAGCATTATCACCTTTCACCTCTTCTTCGTTGTTGTTGTTGTTGTTTTGCTTCTTCCCCTCTCTCAGTTTTGTTGTGTCCTCCTGATTTATTTCACAGCTCTGACCATTTTTAATGCCCCTATTCTCTTTACTGTCTGGTAGAGTCACAAGCTGTTGAAGATTTGGTGCCTCAATTGTCGCCACTTGCTTAGGTTTTTGATGGTGTTGCTCTTATTAGAACATTCAATAAATTAACCATAAGATCCATACTAGGCTCGAGCACCACATATATAAGTATACAATCATATATGTCTTTTATGAATAGAAGAAGTATGGATAAGGTAAATCCTATTTTAATAAGAATTTTCTTCTTTGTATTTGATATCAACCTAATGGGAGCAATGATCTTCTTGTCCCCATTTGATGACTGTCATCTTTGTTTGCCGATTAATGAATGAAAGAAAGATCATTAGGTACTCAAAATGAAGGCCTGAACATCAAATAAAATGCAAAGATCTTACAATTGGTTTTATATAACTTGAACCATGAAGAAGTTATCTTGTCAATAACAATCAAGCATGAAGAGACCCCCAAGATAGCAAGTCATGTGGAAAATCACATCCACAAAATCAGCTACAATCACCAAATCATGGAAAACCATAACAAATAAAAGTCATTGTACAAATAAACCTAGAGCCAGAATATAATTCTACAGATATTGATGCAGGATTAGTGAAGGGATTACTCTCCTACTAGTAGTGAAGTTAACAATACAGATGGTACAAATTTCATAGAATACGCAGCGAGAGCTTACTTGCTATATTTATTAGGTTGTACCCTCTTCGCTGACAAGACTGGGACTCGAGTACCTGTTGCTTACCTTCACATGTTGACTGACATTGATGTTGTTAGCTCATATGCATAGCGTGCTGCAGCTTTTTGCATTCCTGTATAGACAATTAGGACTTGCTAGAAGGGCAGGTGTTAAGCAGATTACTTGTTACTTGAAGCTATTGGAAGCATGAATTTATGAGCATTTTCGTTTAGGAAGGCCTCATCCAAATTTGGCTTGTTCTGATGAACAACCTCGTGTATGTCGTTGGAGTCCACGGAGATATGGAGGTTTTACAGAAGACCACTTGCAGACATTACGAGAGCAACTTGACATGTTACGTGCTAAAGAGGTTAGACATTTTATAATAGTGTGATATTGTTAAAAAAAAAAAAAAAAAGGATTTCCTAACTAACATTATGCATTCCCTATTTGTAGATCGAGTGGGATCCATACCGTTTATGTAGGACACACCATCCACTTCATGAGGTTGCATATTATACTAGATGTTTGAAATGCTTTGATATTGTTGAACCCTATCACCCCAATAGGGTTTTGCGACAATTTGGTAAGGTCCAAACCATCCCACCAGCACCATTATCTCATGTTCGAGCTACACGAGGCAGTAAACCACGACAGTACAGAATCATGTATCAATACCATGACACGATATGGGCGCAATGGGAGAATCATGTGTTGTCCATTAATGCTCGTAGTGTGCCTGTACAACAGCGGCCATCTAAATGTGTATGGGGATACCGTGAGTGGTATGCTCGTGTTTCGCACCGGGTTGTTCAAAATCCTATGCATCACTCTCAATTTAATCCACGTGTTCAACGTCCTGAGGATGATGTTACTATGGACCCTGAGTGGGTAAGCAAATTGTGAATTAACTTTTTTCACTTTTAAGTGGGTCACCATAAATCAAACACTAAGTACGATTTTTATCAATTTTCTTGCAGTGTAATGATCCTGCTTTCAATGTTGGCGTTGCAGTCCATAGGCTCGGTCGTGATGAGTGTGTCTTGCACCCTAACATGCTATATGAAACCATTGGTCACATGCTGCAAGTTCTTGATGGACAGAGTTTGGGACCTACTTCGACACATACAGAGCATCAAGTCTACTATCGTAAACGTCGTAGGATGGACCGTACATGAGGATTAAGATCTAGTTTTTGTTTGATGAGATAATTTTGCATAATGTCTAGCTTGTATACATTTTGGGATATAGTTTTGTGTTAACCGTACATGATATTTGGGATGTAGTTTTTTTTTTTTGATGGCATAGTTTTTGTGAAAGCCTAGCCCATACAGAATTTGGGATCTAGTTTTTTTTTTATGACATAGTTTTTGTGAATGCCTAGGCCGTACAGAATTTGGGATATACTTTTCCCTAATGGCATAGTTTTTTGTGGATACCTTGGATCTTTTGTAAACTGGATGCTTAGTTGGACAAGTAATGAATTATCATACTTTTGTAAGAATTTTAAACAGTTTCACATCTATTTTGTAGTCAATATTTATGTCAATGGAAACTTATTTTGGCGAACATATGGATTTGTTATTGTTTGTAATGCATTGTAATGGTATTAAAGTGTTTTGGAGTGATATGGTACCAGCTGCTAGAAGTAACATTGTATTTTTCAGTGCTATGGGCCAGTTCAACGTCATATTGCTAAACAATTTCCATTATTCCGGTGTTCAGTTGTCGGAAACAATAGATCCCTCATTTAGTTGCTATATATTTCCAAAGCCACTTTATCCTAAACAATGTTTTTTTTATTTGTGCTGGGCCTGTTCGGTAATAAAATGCTAAACAATTTGAATTACTCTAGTTCCATGTTACCGGATAAAATTTTGTTTCCCAGCATTATGTTACCGTTCAATTGGATAATTTCTGTTCGCTTCCCAACAAAGCTAGTAGAGTCCACATTGAAGTGCCTGTTCGGTCACACAATGCAAAACAATTTACAAAAATTCAGTGCTATAACGCCAGAATAAATGATTTTGTCCATCCTTTTGTAGCTATACATTTACAGAGCCACTTCCTCCCAAATGATGTGGTAATAATTTGTGCTGGGACTGTTCAATAATAAAATGCTAGTGAATTTTAATTACTTTAGTGTCGTGTTACCAGACAAACTAGTTTTTTCCAGCATTATGTTGCCATAAGATTAAAGAATTTCAATTTCCTTCACAACAAAGTCAGTGGAGCCCACTGTGAAGTGTCTGTTCAGTCACATAATAGAAGACAAATTTAAAAAATCCAGCTTTATATTACCAGAAATTTATATTTGATTCTGCAGTTTGATACCAGACTTATATCTTTTTTTCGGCACTGTGATGCCAGACTATGTTATTTTGTTCAATTTCGAAACACCAAACAAAAGTCGCAGACCAGCCCAGAAAATCAAAACAAAAACCTACCAAACTAATAAAAAAACTCACAATTTTACTTTTTTGATGGTTTTTCACCACCGTTTCTTCATCCATTGCTTTTTTTGATGATCAAAATACTATGATTATCAGTTTTTCAAAAGAGATGCGTAAGAGAAAAGAAAAGTTGAGAAAGAAAAAAGAGAAATAAGAATTGAAAGGTCAAGGAATGTAAGGAGATAATCAAATACATTTAATTTTAGTGCTTTGTCCTTTTAAGTAATTTCACATATGGATAAAATTGAAAGAAAAAACAATACCGCCATTGCCGTCCTCCACCGCCATAGCTCTCACTGGTATCGTCCCCTCCCTCTCTCTCGATATATATATACACTCATCATAGCCGTCGTCATCCACCACCGCGGGCCGATCCACCACCACCGCCGTCCTTCTCCACCACCGTTGCTCTCATAGGTATCTCTCTCTCTCTCTCTCTCTCTCTATTCTGAGATATTTGTGATATTTTGTTCCTATTTCTCTGTACATTTGTATGAAAATGTACAACTTAGATCTTGTTTGTAACGATTCCTTTCTTTTGATTCAAATTCTTCTCAATCTATATGTCGCTGATTTGTTTCCCATGAATTGACAATTGCTTTGTTTTTTTGTTCTTCTGTTCTCAGTTTTCCCATGAATTGACACTTGCGGGTGATTAGGGGTTATGGTTGAGTTATATTTGATTTTGAGGTTATGATGATATATATTATGTGTTTGCATAGTACATTATATAGGAATGTTGATACTAAGAAAATATTTGGGCCTAGGATTTGGTTTTCAAGTAATGACCTAGTATACCTTTGATTTGGGAGCTTGCTTATCAGTGAGATTTTGGTAAATCATTGAACCTTATGTTTGATTAGTAGAAGAGTGGTAGAAGCTAGTTCATTGTTCGAATGTAGATATACAGTATTTGTATTTGAAAAATACTAGGGATACCAACAAAATTATCAAAAAATCTACCAAATCACTTACATGGGTGTGGGACCTACACCCATGTAAGTGTTTGGTAGATATTTTGGTAAAAAAATTTGGTGTCTCTAGCATTGTTGTTTGTATTTAGTTTTGCGATTGTTGTCTTATTTTATCTGGTGAGTGAGAGGACATGACGACAATTCCTCATTGAAAAATGACACTGTTAATTCTTTACCGAGAGACCTTCTCCTCTCCTTCCCCTGTTGGCTGAGTAATTTTCCAAAGGGATAACATATATAGTGCAAAACAAATCATGTGGACAGTGTGTGTGTGTTATTGTTAGAGAACTCATGGTTTTGGCGCAATTATGTTATTGTCAATTTTGGATTTGGTATTTATTACAATCTGTTGTTCGAACTTGGTCTATGAAGTGATTGGGTAATTTGTACTTTAAAGATTTAGTGGTATTTGTTGGAATGTGTTCCACATCGCCTGGAATTGCCCCATCTGTACTAGTTATAAGGTTATAATTTTTCTATTCTTAATACTTGGGTTTTAAGGAAAAGTGTGGGCTGAGCTTTTCAACTTGGTATCAGGGTTTGGTTGGGCTTGTGATTGGTGTGTCGTTTGTCCAGCTACTGTATGTTGTGATCCAAAAGGATGTATTGGAATGTGTCCCACATCGCCTGAAATTGTCCCATCTGTACTAGTTATAAGGCTTTAGTTTCATTCTCCTTAATACCTGAGTTTTAAGAAAAAGTGTAGGTTGAGCTTTTCAACTGTATTAATTTGTTAAATTTAAGAGTGAAAGGTTAGCATATGAAAGACTAGGATAATTTAAAGAGTACAACTTATGGGATAGAATTTTGATAATGGGTCCACTCATTTATTAATAGTATTTTGATAATGGATTGAGGGATATGTGTAAAGTAGTTTAGTAAATGAGTGCACCTAACTAACATCAGCGGTTTTCACGTGTAATTGCAATCAACCGTGACTACCCGTCATTTATCTCATACTGTCAACTGTTCAGATTTGGATAGAGGATCTGATTGTATAGTTGCACTAGCCCCTCTGGTAGTATTGCCCCTGCATAAATCAGTTAACCCAACTCAACCGAACCAATAAATAGAAAAAAAGGAAATAAATAATCTGTCATGTGCTGCATGGCTAAGTTTTTTGTTTTGCACATCAAGTAGTCCCATTCTCACCTTGCCAATTTTTGAATCGGTGCTCTAAAAGATTACACGAACTCTATTCATTTTCCTTATTTTTTTGGTTTAGAACATTAGGCATCTTCATGTTCGATCGAACCATCATTTGTTGTTTCAATTATGTTCTTCGCATCTATGTTTTGTGTCGTTTTAGAAGTTTTTGTTATTCATCAAATCCTTATCATCACACAATCATGTTATAGTGTTCATACACATGAGTCTATAATTACAATTTTTGCAAGTCAATGAAATTGTTTAAAGTGAACTTCAATGGTAATCCTTAAGAATGGATAGGTTAATTGAGTCCTACACTATATCTTGACTAGCTTTGTCGTTCATAATTAACTGATGTGAATTTAAGTAGTTCAATGCAGTATCAAGGGTTGTTGATTGTTGTGAGATATCATGTGGGGCTTAGTAATACAATATTACTTTCTTCTTTACTTATTTAAGTTTTAAATTGTTTAAGAATCTAATAATGCATTGGACTAGTCAACCACATTCAAACAGGTGTTATGAATTGTTAATTCAGTTTCTGAAGTTATATCGTTCTTAATGAGCTGATGACATTTCTCTGAGTATCTCTGCCCCCTTGAAACTCTTTTGGCCTGGCTTTACTCTTTTGCTTGATCTCATCATTCATTAGTAGCATATATTTCAGTAATTTGTCATTAATGCCTTTTTTTAATCTAGTGTCCTCATCTTGCCTTTCTGGCATATAGATTATTACTTGATTTATGTAACTAGCTTATATTTCTACTCAATAGTTACCTGTTATTCTTATTATCTACCATGAGATGGCAAGAACTAATTTGTGGCCTTGTCTATCATAGCACCATTAGTTGGACTGGTTAGAAGTGTTTGCCTTGTATAGTGAGTATGTCTGATGACTAAGGCTTCCTTTGGCATCCTAGTTAAACCCAACTTTTTTTACCTTTTTAGTGCAAAAAGCTATAAAAATAAAAAAATCCCTTTGCCAACCCTAATTTCCCACCAAAATGCTAACTTTCCTAGCAAAAATCATTTAAGAAAAACCCCTACAAAATTCTGCTTCACAACCAAAAAACCCATATTCCCAACCAAAAAAACATGTGTGCCAAACGAAATGACTTTGTTTAAATTCAGCTAACATGTTGGCTTAAAGCAAACTCCGAAAGGAAGCCTACCAATGTTTTTCCTGTGAAAAAAATAATAAAAAAGTAATTTTGTTTTGTTCATAGGGCCACCAAATATATCCCATCTATGTTGTGTTTTAGTGAAGTTATGAAATTTATATTTAGGAACAGTGGGTCATCACTCACTACAAGAAAATGCATGTTTGGCAACTAAAATTGGCGACCAAACCAATTTTAGTCGCCAAAAACATCAGATTGTGCAACTAAAAACCAGGTTTAGTCGCCATTGATTGAATCTTTTAGCTACTAAATTATTTTAGTCACCATATAGTCTTATTGGCGACCAAATTTATCTTTAGTCGCTGTTTGTTACCATTTTCGGCTACTAAAATTTGATTTTGTCACCATATAATTTCATTTTGCGACAAAACATTTTTGCCGCCCAAAAATGGGCATATTTTCATTAATTTTTGATGACCAAAGCTAGGTTAGTCGTTGTATATTCAATATTGCCGATGAAAATTTGAATTTAGTAGCCAAAGAAGCATCTTTTGGCGACCAATTTTTAGTCGCCGTTAAGGATATTTGGCGACAAATTGTTGTTTAGTCGCTAAAGGTTCAAAAAAATTTTAGAGGGAAAATAATTAATATTGGCACCTAGTATATATATTACACACACACACACTTTAAACAAATCCTCTAGAATTTTTTTAAAGAATATTAAAGCTTACAAATATATATGTTTACACATTAGACTAAACTTGACTTGAGGTGGACTTCGAAATTTCTGTGCACTTTAAATACAATTTAAAGTGTACAGAAACTATATTGAAATTCTTA